AATGCTCGGAACTCAAATCCCATAGAGCACACGTGATCATGCTCTAACCCTAACATAAATTGCTTTATAATTTATGTTATTTCTCCATTAACTTGATTCATTTAATTTTTTGCATTTATTAATAAAATAATTATATTTTACTAGATATTACCTTCTTTATGTATGCAGCTCGAAGTTTTAAAATTTCATCTTGCTCGTGATATTCAAGATGGGTTAAACTAGAAAAAGAATAAAAAAAAACGCGTTATCATATTATAAGAACATTGAAACACACAACTTTAATACACATGCGTAAATCAAAACATATTGTAAAGTATATTACACAAAATTGTTGACAGTAGAACCAATATACATACATAAAATAAATAGTCTGGATCGTTATTTCCGGATATAAAATCAACAATATCGCAGGAACATAAGAAAAAATAACTCTACAAACTTTAGCGTACAACAGAGGACGCGTGTGATCTAACACAACAATCAAAACCTTTAAACAGAAATAATACCTGGAAGGCAAAGGAGGTTTAGCAAAGTCAGAGTCAGTAGAAGATTTTTTCTTCTCTTTCCCTAGAGTAAAAACCGATACGTAAAAGGTTTTGTATGTCGACGTTTTATTCAAGATACAGGACAACAAAGACAACAAGAAAGTAGATGAACCTGTTGAAGATGGTTTACGTTTACTTAATATCTTCCTGTTTTTCTCAATGTCTTCTTTTTGTTGATTAATGAAATCTTGTTGTCTTATAGATAAACAAGCCAAAAAATATTACAACACAAGATCTCGATACATACATTATAGTTTTTTTCACTCGGAGTAAATAAATTCTCATACTTTTGTTTTTCCTTAAAAGAAAATCCATCTTCCCAAGTTTCAACAAAATGAGGTCCTTGTCTAAAAGATAAAGTCTACAATTAAATATACGTGTCTAAACTTGCATTGTGTCTCAAACATAGAAACAAATATTCCATACAACTTTTTCGCGCCATTCTCCACGATTCTACCTTACAGTTTACCTTGTTGGGACATACTGCCCAAGTCGCAAACGATTATTCATGCTTTCCCGTTTCGCTTTCATCTTTTGCTGACGTGACTATGAAAAAAGAAATGATTAAAGTCATTATTAAGAAATATATGACTGTTATGATACAATGCCTGTCAATTCTGATTAGTTTTTACACATAAAAAATTATCAATGCAAATAAATTATTCTCGTGAAGACTTGATTTACTAGTGTAATCAGGTACGTACACCTAACCAACCGTCATTGTAAAGCAACAACTTTTTCTCTGATATTTTTCTATAACGTATGCAAAATGATACCTGTTCAATAAGAAGATTTTTGATGAATTCAATGCACTAAAAAAATTGTATTCAGTCAGTCATTATAATTACATTTTGTGAGCAGGGATATACCGGGCGGAAAGCGAACTTTAAATATAAGTATAAATATCAAAGTAAGTATAAATATATATCTTGAGACCTGCAGTGAATAACTTTATACAAATCAAATTTGGAAAGTTTTCATATTTTGAGGAAAAAAAGCAGAAATTGCGAAATCAAATGTAGATTGAGATTAAATTGAGAAAATACCTTTTCGTTGGCTTTTTTCAGTTGATTTTCAACATTCTAATAAATAGTAAAATAATGTTTAATGTTTATAAATTCTCTTAAGCACAACAATAGTATAATGAATGCGGAAGAAAGAAAAGTATCACTTCAATAACATAGATAAACAAGATAAATGAGTGATCAAGCTTTTCAATTGAAACACATACTACGTATAAAATAAAGATACAACAAAGATTATGTATTGTTTTCGATAGTAATTTGTAGTTTTCCAACAAAATTATTTCGTTTAGCTTGAGATTTACTTCATTCTCTGCCATTAATTTGATTCATATATTTCTATCTTCACATCAACGAATGTTACTGAGTCAATAACACCATATATGTACATATGTACATACAACGTATCTTGTAAATATATTCATTGTTGAGTACGTAAAAAAACAAATACCTTAAGTTCTGTGATCTGCTTCATGAGTGTGGAATTGGCCTAAACAGAATATAAAATTACAATATACTATAAGACATTAGAGCTTTATGTTTCATGATATTATGGGGTCAATGCAAACTTGACTAAAAAAACCCCCTTGTTTTACAGATAAGCAAGGTTTTTAAAGACATGCATAATGGGTATGGAAAATCTGAACAATAAAACATACACTGTCCAGTTCTTTCATTCTTTTCTCATTTTCCTCAGATGTTGTAAAGGCAAGTGCTTCATATTCCTAAAATATTAACACATGTTTGAGAAAAATGAGAATATATCAATCTTACAAGCCCACTAATCACCAATCTTCCCATGCCCGTAGTTTCAATTTACAACAAAAATGTAGAAACACAAAGCTGAGAGAAGGTCCCCTCCAAATAAGACATCATTAAACATTAAAATGTAAAATTACCTTCATTTTCATCATGGTTAACTCACTCTAAAACACAAAAAGAGTTTGAAAAAATGTATCTTATTAATGCACGATGTTGAGATAACAAAGGCAATAGTAAAGTGTACCAGTAAATGATGATAGTAAAGTGTACCAGTAAATGATGATAGTAAAGTGTACCAGTAAATGACGGTAGTAAAGTGTACCAGTAAATGATGATAGTAAAGTGTACCAGTAAATGATGGTAGTAAAGTGTACCAGTAAATGATGGTAGTAAAGTGTACCAGTAAATGATGATAGTAAAGTGTACCAGTAAATGATGGTAGTAAAGTGTACCAGTAAATGATGATAGTAAAGTGTACCAGTAAATGATGATAGTAAAGTGTACCAGTAAATGATGATAGTAAAGTGTACCAGTAAATGATGATAGTAAAGTGTACCAGTAAATGATGATAGTAAAGTGTACCAGTAAATGATGGTAGTAAAGTGTACCAGTAAATGATGGTAGTTAAGTGTACCATAAAATTGTAAAACTACAGTGTGTAAACAAATAATGGTATTATTTTACCAATACTCTTCTAAATGTAGCAATTGTGTCATTATGTAAACCTGAGTTGACTCATGGACACAAACAGTTTCCAAGACATCATTGTTTTGTTGTTGCGATGACAAAGAAGATTCGCTTGATCTTCTTATCAAAGAATTTTTTTTACCCATTAAGTGAGGAAGTGTTGAACTACTTTCCATTGGACTCTAAAAATCATAAAAAGAATTAGGATATTTACACATTGTAGTGTATGTTTAAGCTACTGCAGTCTCATGACATAATGGAAAAATTTCTAAATTATTTATATTTATTAAACATAATTAAAATAAATCATACATTTTATAGGGTACCGGTAGCCAAAAGTAAATTTAATACATGTCTTATGACGTCATGTGACAATAGTTATTCAAACAATTTTCATGAAAAATTTAAGGGTACATAATGTATCTCGAAATGATTCAAAAGTTATGAACTGAAGAAATGAGATTGTTTCTCTTGTTTTTCACCCTGTACAAAAAAACGTTCCATAAATCCTGACATGGTGAGTTTGATAAAAAAATACTTACTAAAGATGGATCATTACAAGCCATATTGTGTTTAGGACTTGGTGTCAAAGACATCTTGTTTGGCGGTGTTGTCATTCCGTTCGTCTATAACAATAAAAAAACATAACCATAACATATATATAACAACATTACAATAAACGATATATTTTCTCCAATCTGTTAACATAAATACTTTACTGAAATAATCAAATTTTACATAAAAAGAAAACAACCTTAGGAAAATATCCAGTAATTTTATTTGACCCAGATTCTGCCTTACCAATCTTTGGATGAGCTATAAAAAGAAAACAAGAGATTATTTCCACAGTTTTTAATGATCACTACAAATAATTTATGATCGTACAGAATATCATACATATTTTCATTGTATGTACACAAGTACCTAACATCATTATGAAAACATCACCATATGTATGGAAATGTCACTGTTGTCATGCTAAGTACCATACACGTATGCATATGGAAATGTCACTGTTGTCATGCTAAGTACCATACACGTATGCATATGGAAATGTCACTGTTGTCATGCTAAGTACCATACACGTATGCATATGGAAATGTCACTGTTGTCATGCTAAGTACCATACACGTATGCATATGGAAATGTCACTGTTGTCATGCTAAGTACCATACACGTATGCATATGGAAATGTCACTGTACCATATGTATGGAAATATCACTGTTCTTATGCTACATGTACCATACGCATGGAAATATCATTGTCATCATCAAAGTAAGACCTGAATATTCTGAATCTGGAGCTTTTCTTTTACGCTTAACAACTTTTTCTGACTTTTCATTTCCAACATTCTTCAAAATGAGAATATGATATAGATTAATAATTAGAAATTTTGTTTACCCTGGAAGAGTTGGGAAATACACAGTACACCCAGGAAGAGTTGGGAAATACACAGTACACCCAGGAAGAGTTGGGAAATACACAGTACACCCAGGAAGAGTTGGGAAATGCACAGTACACCCAGGAAGAGTTGGGAATTGCACAGTACACCCAGGAAGAGTTGGGAAATGCACAGTACACCCAGGAAGAGTTGGGAAATGCACAGTACACCCAGGAAGAGTTGGGAAATGCACAGTACACCCAGGAATAGTTGGGAAATGCACAGTACACCCAGGAAGAGTTGGGAAATGCACAGTACACCCAGGAAGAGTTGGGAAATGCACAGTACACCCAGGAAGAGTTGGGAAATGCACAGTACACCCAGGAAGAGTTGGGAAATGCACAGTACACCCAGGAAGAGTTGGGAAATACACAGTACACCCAGGAAGAGTTGGGAAATACACAGTACACCCAGGAAGAGTTGGGAAATGCACAGTACACCCAGGAAGAGTTGGGAAATGCACAGTACACCCAGGAAGAGTTGGGAAATACACAGTACACCCAGGAAGAGTTGGGAAATGCACAGTACACCCAGGAAGAGATGGGAAATACACAGTACACTAGTTTCTTCTGATTTGATAAATAGTTAACAAATTTACTATAACAATTCAGAAGGAATATAAAACAAAAGGCCCATTAATTGCTTCAATTATTTATGCATCAATAAGATCATCAAATACATAGTTTTATGAGTAATACGATTACTGTTCTGACAAAAAACTTACTGCTAATAATGCCCATTTAAATACAATAGTGCACGTTACATTTGTTGACATAAAACAGTTGAATTAAACAACTTTATCTTGTCAAACTATACATGAGTGTGGAAATGGAATATTTGATCAATAAATCAACTTTCACAAAAGCAATGCCACATCATATCCCTATGTTGTGTTTTTGATGGTTTTTATAAATCTTTGTGCATGAGAAGAGGGGGGGGGAGCTTAACCCAACTACTGTTGTGTGTGCAATAGGAATAATAAAAGTACATTAAACATATTGTGTTTTTACAGTGGCAAGTTAGACATTTCATAAATTGGTAGACCTACAAACCTCAAAATCTCTTGATGATTCAGATAGTCCAGAAGACGCATTGCTATGGTTAGAATTCTCCTAACCAAAAGTTTATTACTAAGTCAGTATTTAGATATACTATTTATGTATTATGTACTTGGGCACAAATGGAGAAATCTTTCTTTTGACAGTAAACCTTCAATAGTATAGCAAAATAAGTTATTCATGATTTTGGCAACAGTGATGATAAAAATCATGATCTCACTTTAATACAATTTTAACAATCCAAAACAAAACGCCTGGCTATATAGCTTGTAAAACATGATTATTTAGAATTCTTAACTATTAGATCAATATTAGCACTAAGTAAAACTTTCATACAACTTTTTATTGCCGAAGAAGGAAAATTGAAACGTTAAAAAGGGATTATAAGCTGTCGTGACATAAATTTCCTCATCAAAAATTGTTCCAAGAGATCCACTTTCGTAAATGTACAAGTAAGCACAAAGATAGACTTACCCTGTTATCGAGTTTATTATCAATAAAACGTGCTTCTAACAGTTCTCTTCGTTGAGGATCTAAGCCTTGAAGACTAGTTAAGGAACTACCAGACTCTCGTCCTAAACAAAACAGTTAAAATTTACAAAGTTCAACTGCATAAGTCGCAGTTTCAAAAATTCAGAAACCTTCCATGGAGGAAAATTGCAAGCTTTTTCTACTGCGACTTAAATGTGATTTTGATTCATTGCTAAGGTGCAAAGAAAATTCTTGAGAAGGTGAAACAACATTTTTCAACTCGCGTGAATCAGCCATTGAAATTTGAAAAGTTGCGAAAACAATGGCAAAATCGCGCAGGAAGTTAGCCAATCATATAAACAAAACTGCTTCAAAAGAGCTTATACGTAAAATTCTCTCACTCCATAGCCGGGCGTGGTGGCGTGCGCCTGTAACCGAGCTACTCTCGGGGCTGGTGGTGTAGAACGTCTTGAGGTTGGGATTCCTGTTGCATATTATCCTATGTTGATCGGGTGTCCATGCTAAGCTAGGCGTCAATATGGTGATCAGTAGGGAACTTCAGATCACCAGGTTGAATAAAGAGGAACGTACTGGTCAAGGATGGAAACATAGCAGACAAAAGTTCCCGCGTCAAGCAGTAGTGGGATAGCACTTGTGAATAGGAAATATGTGACAGCCTAATCAATACAGCCGAACCCATTACCTTTTTAATTTATTTATTAAATTATTGTTTAATTAGTTTTAATAAGCTGATTGTATCCATAATTGTTTATTGTTTATTTTGACAGCAAGGTTAACACGTTTTGAAGAGATTTACAATGCATTGTGTACCATGTGTAATGTGTTCCATCCCTTTCTGTGAAGTAAAGTTTGAAGAAATAAGAACATTGTCTATTCATGAAACAATCTCAATCCCACTCTTAACAGTAAAAAAGCCAACAAAACCAGGATTCCAACAGAATCATAGACATTTAAAATTTCTGCTCAGCCTGAAGCTTATGTTGCAAATTTGAAGTGTAACGTTACTTCAATATTTTAATGGCATTTGGAAGATACTTTATTTATAATGAAAGCACATTTGTTTGGCGTTTGATTAAGTTATTGTATAAGTATTGAATGCAACGGCAACTTAAGGAACTACTGTTGATGGAGAAAGTTCAAAAACCATTATTATAACTTTTTAAGTGGATATTTGTACATGACATAACAAATGTGCTGGGCGTGGTGGCGTGCGTCTGTAACCGAGCTACTCTCGGGGCTGGTAGTGTAGAACGTCTTGAGGTTGGGATTCCTGTTGCATAGTATCCTATGTTGATCGGGTGTCCATGCTAAGCTAGGCGTCAATATGGTGATCAGTAGGGAACTTCAGATCACCAGGTTGAATAAAGAGGAACGTACTGGTCAAGGATGGAAACATAGCAGACAAAAGTTCCCGCGTCAAGCAGTAGTGGGATAGCACTTGTGAATAGGAAATATGTGACAGCCTAATCAATACAGCCGAACCCATTACCTTTTTAATTTATTTATTAAATTATTGTTTAATTAGTTTTAATAAGCTGATTGTATCCATAATTGTTTATTGTTTATTTTGACAGCAAGGTTAACACGTTTTGAAGAGATTTACAATGCATTGTGTACCATGTGTAATGTGTTCCATCCCTTTCTGTGAAGTAAAGTTTGAAGAAATAAGAACATTGTCTATTCATGAAACAATCTCAATCCCACTCTTAACAGTAAAAAAGCCAACAAAACCAGGATTCCAACAGAATCATAGACATTTAAAATTTCTGCTCAGCCTGAAGCTTATGTTGCAAATTTGAAGTGTAACGTTACTTCAATATTTTAATGGCATTTGGAAGATACTTTATTTATAATGAAAGCACATTTGTTTGGCGTTTGATTAAGTTATTGTATAAGTATTGAATGCAACGGCAACTTAAGGAACTACTGTTGATGGAGAAAGTTCAAAAACCATTATTATAACTTTTTAAGTGGATATTTGTACATGACATAACAAATGTGCTGGGCGTGGTGGCGTGCGTCTGTAACCGAGCTACTCTCGGGGCTGGTAGTGTAGAACGTCTTGAGGTTGGGATTCCTGTTGCATAGTATCCTATGTTGATCGGGTGTCCATGCTAAGCTAGGCGTCAATATGGTGATCAGTAGGGAACTTCAGATCACCAGGTTGAATAAAGAGGAACGTACTGGTCAAGGATGGAAACATAGCAGACAAAAGTTCCCGCGTCAAGCAGTAGTGGGATAGCACTTGTGAATAGGAAATATGTGACAGCCTAATCAATACAGCCGAACCCATTACCTTTTTAATTTATTTATTAAATTATTGTTTAATTAGTTTTAATAAGCTGATTGTATCCATAATTGTTTATTGTTTATTTTGACAGCAAGGTTAACACGTTTTGAAGAGATTTACAATGCATTGTGTACCATGTGTAATGTGTTCCATCCCTTTCTGTGAAGTAAAGTTTGAAGAAATAAGAACATTGTCTATTCATGAAACAATCTCAATCCCACTCTTAACAGTAAAAAAAAAGCCAACAAAACCAGGATTCCAACAGAATCATAGACATTTAAAATTTCTGCTCAGCCTGAAGCTTATGTTGCAAATTTGAAGTGTAACGTTACTTCAATATTTTAATGGCATTTGGAAGATACTTTATTTATAATGAAAGCACATTTGTTTGGCGTTTGATTAAGTTATTGTATAAGTATTGAATGCAACGGCAACTTAAGGAACTACTGTTGATGGAGAAAGTTCAAAAACCATTATTATAACTTTTTAAGTGGATATTTGTACATGACATAACAAATGTGCTGGGCGTGGTGGCGTGCGTCTGTAACCGAGCTACTCTCGGGGCTGGTAGTGTAGAACGTCTTGAGGTTGGGATTCCTGTTGCATAGTATCCTATGTTGATCGGGTGTCCATGCTAAGCTAGGCGTCAATATGGTGATCAGTAGGGAACTTCAGATCACCAGGTTGAATAAAGAGGAACGTACTGGTCAAGGATGGAAACATAGCAGACAAAAGTTCCCGCGTCAAGCAGTAGTGGGATAGCACTTGTGAATAGGAAATATGTGACAGCCTAATCAATACAGCCGAACCCATTACCTTTTTAATTTATTTATTAAATTATTGTTTAATTAGTTTTAATAAGCTGATTGTATCCATAATTGTTTATTGTTTATTTTGACAGCAAGGTTAACACGTTTTGAAGAGATTTACAATGCATTGTGTACCATGTGTAATGTGTTCCATCCCTTTCTGTGAAGTAAAGTTTGAAGAAATAAGAACATTGTCTATTCATGAAACAATCTCAATCCCACTCTTAACAGTAAAAAAAAAGCCAACAAAACCAGGATTCCAACAGAATCATAGACATTTAAAATTTCTGCTCAGCCTGAAGCTTATGTTGCAAATTTGAAGTGTAACGTTACTTCAATATTTTAATGGCATTTGGAAGATACTTTATTTATAATGAAAGCACATTTGTTTGGCGTTTGATTAAGTTATTGTATAAGTATTGAATGCAACGGCAACTTAAGGAACTACTGTTGATGGAGAAAGTTCAAAAACCATTATTATAACTTTTTAAGTGGATATTTGTACATGACATAACAAATGTGCTGGGCGTGGTGGCGTGCGTCTGTAACCGAGCTACTCTCGGGGCTGGTAGTGTAGAACGTCTTGAGGTTGGGATTCCTGTTGCATAGTATCCTATGTTGATCGGGTGTCCATGCTAAGCTAGGCGTCAATATGGTGATCAGTAGGGAACTTCAGATCACCAGGTTGAATAAAGAGGAACGTACTGGTCAAGGATGGAAACATAGCAGACAAAAGTTCCCGCGTCAAGCAGTAGTGGGATAGCACTTGTGAATAGGAAATATGTGACAGCCTAATCAATACAGCCGAACCCATTACCTTTTTAATTTATTTATTAAATTATTGTTTAATTAGTTTTAATAAGCTGATTGTATCCATAATTGTTTATTGTTTATTTTGACAGCAAGGTTAACACGTTTTGAAGAGATTTACAATGCATTGTGTACCATGTGTAATGTGTTCCATCCCTTTCTGTGAAGTAAAGTTTGAAGAAATAAGAACATTGTCTATTCATGAAACAATCTCAATCCCACTCTTAACAGTAAAAAAGCCAACAAAACCAGGATTCCAACAGAATCATAGACATTTAAAATTTCTGCTCAGCCTGAAGCTTATGTTGCAAATTTGAAGTGTAACGTTACTTCAATATTTTAATGGCATTTGGAAGATACTTTATTTATAATGAAAGCACATTTGTTTGGCGTTTGATTAAGTTATTGTATAAGTATTGAATGCAACGGCAACTTAAGGAACTACTGTTGATGGAGAAAGTTCAAAAACCATTATTATAACTTTTTAAGTGGATATTTGTACATGACATAACAAATGTGCTGGGCGTGGTGGCGTGCGTCTGTAACCGAGCTACTCTCGGGGCTGGTAGTGTAGAACGTCTTGAGGTTGGGATTCCTGTTGCATAGTATCCTATGTTGATCGGGTGTCCATGCTAAGCTAGGCGTCAATATGGTGATCAGTAGGGAACTTCAGATCACCAGGTTGAATAAAGAGGAACGTACTGGTCAAGGATGGAAACATAGCAGACAAAAGTTCCCGCGTCAAGCAGTAGTGGGATAGCACTTGTGAATAGGAAATATGTGACAGCCTAATCAATACAGCCGAACCCATTACCTTTTTAATTTATTTATTAAATTATTGTTTAATTAGTTTTAATAAGCTGATTGTATCCATAATTGTTTATTGTTTATTTTGACAGCAAGGTTAACACGTTTTGAAGAGATTTACAATGCATTGTGTACCATGTGTAATGTGTTCCATCCCTTTCTGTGAAGTAAAGTTTGAAGAAATAAGAACATTGTCTATTCATGAAACAATCTCAATCCCACTCTTAACAGTAAAAAAGCCAACAAAACCAGGATTCCAACAGAATCATAGACATTTAAAATTTCTGCTCAGCCTGAAGCTTATGTTGCAAATTTGAAGTGTAACGTTACTTCAATATTTTAATGGCATTTGGAAGATACTTTATTTATAATGAAAGCACATTTGTTTGGCGTTTGATTAAGTTATTGTATAAGTATTGAATGCAACGGCAACTTAAGGAACTACTGTTGATGGAGAAAGTTCAAAAACCATTATTATAACTTTTTAAGTGGATATTTGTACATGACATAACAAATGTGCTGGGCGTGGTGGCGTGCGTCTGTAACCGAGCTACTCTCGGGCTGGTAGTGTAGA